GAGCAGGGAGCCCGATGTGGGACTCGATCCCGGGACTCCAGGATCATGACCTGAGCCGAAGGCAGTCGCTTAACCAACTGAGCCACCCAGGCACCCCTCAAAAATAATGTTTTTTAAAAGACATTTTATTGTGGTAAAACCTGCACAACATTAAATGTACCATCTTAACCATTTCCAAGTGTCCACGTCAGTACCATTAAAGACACTGACACTGCTGAGCAGCCATCCCCACCGTCCATCTCCAGAACATTCCATCCCCCCACTGAGACCCTACCCTGTCCCTGCTACACGCTGACTCCCCGCACCACCATCTACTTTCTGTCTCTGTGATTTTGATGACTCCAGGGACCCCTTAAGAGTGAAATCGTACAGTGTCCATCCTTCTCCATCTGGCTCACTTCACTCAGCATCACATCCTCAAGGTTCATCCGTGTTGGAGCAGGTGCCAGGATTCCTTCCTTGTTAAGGCTGAATAATATTCCACGGTGTGGATATACCACACATTGTTTATCCATCCATGCATCGATGGGCACTCGGGGGGGGCTCCCCTTTTTGGTTGCGAATAGTGCGATGAACATGGGGGTGCAAATGTCTGAGTCTCAGTAATTTTGGATCAACTTACTTTAGAATAACTTCAGATTTATAAAAATGTTGCAAAGATAATCCAGGGAGTTCTCATAAAAAAAATAAAATCTGTGCAAAGCTGGCGTTATTGAAACTTTGTATAAACGTGCCATAACAATCTTGGGAGAGAGAGAACATGATCACCTATGGTTTACAGATGCAGAAAGTGAAGGTGATGTTGTCCCAGCCAGACCCCCAGGTCCCTGGTGCATCCCAGGATCTGCGGCTGTACCCAGCTGTACCTTTCTCTGGAAAATCGTTCCCAGCCCATGCCTGAGCTCCTGCTCTCCCTCCAGGTAACCCTCGGCCTAGAGCTGACTGGTGTGGGGTCCACTCTGGCCCTTGGCCTTCAGGTGCAGAGCTCCCGGGGAGCCTGGTGAGGCTGGACCTCGGCTCGCCTCCATCCCCCGCCCTCCTCTGCACCCCTCACTCCTCACCATCTCCCCTGAGAACACTCCCTCATCAGCCACCCGCCCAAGGATCCCCACCGAGGCCCTGCTTCTGGGGTAGCTGGCCTATGACATTTAGGGAGGGCTGCTTTCCACAGCTGCTGAGTGAGAAGCTAGCTCTGCCTTCAGACGTCCGCCCCAGAAGCTGCACTCAGCCACTCTCTGCTCCGGCAAACTCAGCTCAAGGGCCGAGACATGAATCTGAGAGCTGACCATACGGTGCGGGCCCCTAACACGGTAGTCACCCCAGCGTGGCAGGACCCAGAGGTAAGGCAGCCCCAGGATGGCTGACCAAGCCCGGGGCAGTCCGCTTCGAAGTTCTGCCACAGATCCACTCCTTCCATCGAGTTACGGGAGGAGCCACTCCAGATGACATGGGACCGGCAGCCCTGATGACCACTAGACTTTTCTAGAAAGTTCTGAGGACCCATGACAGAGGTCAGAAAATGCAATGGTAGTTCAAACAGTGAAAAAAAACCAAAACAACCCATGACTGTATTTATTTTCCATTTTTAAATGTGCTTTTGCTGATTTCGAAGGTTTGATTTTGATTTAACTGTGTATGTTAAAATGATAATATTTGAATATGTTGGGTTAAATAAAGCATAATTAAAATAGATTTTACCTTTTCTTTTTATACTTTTAGGGTACACAATTCCAGTTACACACACGACATATTCTTATTGGACAGCGCTGGTGTATTCTTCAGTAGGAGTGAGCTGGGCCATTTATTCTTTCGTTTATTTATTCAATCGTGCACTCATGTCGACAGACCTCTCCAAACACCTGTTACCTGCTGGGGCCTCTGCCGAGCTCCAGAGCTCCCCAGAAAAGAAATTGCAGCTCTTGTTCTGGATCTTCCTGAGTGACTGAGGTTTTCCCACCGCTTCTATTCCCCACGGAACCCCACGTGCTTCTTCTTGCAAGCTGTATTGATACATCAGAGTCCGTTTTCTTCCCATTTTGCAGGTGAGTAAACTGTGGTCCACAGAAGCATAAGGATCCATCCGAGGCCACTCACGGGGTTGGTAGCCGAGCACCTGCTGCTCGTCCTGGTGAGCGATGGGGCTCTAGACTCTTGTGACACCCAGTACTGAGCTGTAGCCTCCTTACCACTGTCTTCTTAAGGAGACGTCACACCCAACGTGGGGCTTGAACTCACGACCCTGAGATCAAGAGTTGCTTGCATGCTCCATAGCCTGAGCCAGCCAGCCAGGCCTCCCCAAGCTGCAGCCTCTCAATGATGATATCATTACAAGAATTTCCAAATTTATGCACACTGATGGTGAAAGCTTTCTTCTGAGGTCTCCATGGAGATCAGCTGATTTGGAAAAATTAGACATCATCTTATAAAGCTGAGGACGCCCTAACCTGGCCCCATCCGTTCCAGCCCTAGATGGACATATTCTTCAGGTAAACTCATGCACCCGCGTAAGAACGTTCTTCACAACATTGTTTGCAGCACCAAAAAGCTGAACCAACCCAAATTTCCAAGAGCCAGAGGAGGCATAAAGAAGCTAGGATGTGGTCTACAGTGGAACACTATCCAGCCGTGCAATGAGTGAGCTGTAGCTTTGTATGTGATAATGAATTTTTCTCATAAACATAATGGGAAAAAAGTGCAAATTCCAGGAAAAGACATATAAATAAGACATAATAAGACAAAATAAGACATGTCTGTATACTGCATATGTATTTTTACGTTGATGATGTCCTTGCCTTTCTCTGCAGATGCACGCTTTTACTGTACGTGTTATTTTATACTATATGTGGAGTGTACGTAATATACAATTTATATATTAGCTTATGTACATTACATATAAATATGTATTTTCTATGCACTTTACCTATAAATTGCTCTGCCTGTTTACTCTGTATGTTTACTATATATAATATTTTATATATGATTTTATCTTATAAATATACTTAAGCACTATAAATACTCTAATGTATAAAATGTGTCATTCATATAACAATCTTACTAGTTTTTAATGAATATTATACAAAATACTATACATAGATAAAATACTACATACGTTATATATGTTTTGTCCATATACATCTCCATTATATCATATACAAATCTATATTATAGATCTATAACAACAGACCAGGGTGTGATAAACAAACTTCATTGCCCTCCCCGGACGGTTTTAAATGTTTTGCAAACCGGGGTCACCTGCGTGCACGCTGGCCCGGCGCTGGGCCACCCGTGGACTCCCAGCGCTCTGAGCATCAGCGCCTGATGACCACGGGAGAGGCAACTACCTCAGATTCTACCCACCGAAGTTCCGCTTTTAACTGGATAGGAAAATCACAGAGAGAGTGCAAATCTGTTCTAACACCCGGCCTCTCTTCAAATGTACACACAAAGCAATTCTGCAAGCAGCAACTTGGCGAGCATCCTGCTGGTTTTCAGTTTTCCCTCATAAGTCGCTTGTTTTGTTTTTGTGTTCGTTTTCTTTTCCCACCGCTTAGCTTCCTCGAGCCCAAAGCAGTGGTGCCTGGGTCAGGAGCAGGGGGGAGGATGGACTGCAAAGGGGTGTGAGGAGCCTTCTGGGAGGGAAGAGGGACGGAGACCGTGGCCTCCTGGACATGCAGACCTGTCCGAACTTACCCAGCTGCTCTCTCCAGAGGGAAGCTCGCAGATGCGCAGGTTAGAGCCCGCATGCAATATGTCCCGGGTGATCTGGGGTCGTGCACCTCACAGCACTTCAAACCACAGGACCGGGCTGCCCCTCCACAGAGCAGTGTCAAGAGGGGGAGGCCAGAGCCTCTGCCTCTTGTCCTCACCCCCTCTGGCACAGAGGTCCCCTTTCCGCTGTGTATGAGAGGAACAGGGTCGCTCCCTGCAGGCACACATCCAGTAAGTAAGCCGTGGCAATGCCCTCAATGCATTTCCCTGATACCCCCCCCCCACCGCCCCGTGCAGGTGCATTTCTCACCCAAACCCCACAGCCACGGGACAGCAGGCTGGCTGGGCACGGATCACCCAAATCAGGCCTTCGGAGCGCAGACTACGGGCCGGGTTGTGAAAGATAGTTGGAAGGCAGGCAGGCAGGGACAAGGGGACTCCACCCTAAAAGGAAACCACCATTAAACCTTTTTTTAAAGATCTTATTTATTTATTTAGTAGAGAGAGTGCATGCGCCGGCAAGAGAGAGAAAGAACGAGCTGGGCTGGGAGGGCCAAGGAAGAAGCAGTCTCCCTGATGAACAGGGAGCCCGATGCGGGGCTCCATCCCAGGACCCTGGGATCATGACCTGAGCTGAAGACAGACCCTTAACCAACTGAGCCACCCAGGCGCCCAAGGAAACCACCCTTAAAAGGATTTTACACCACCCTGGGAGGAGCCCTCCACCCTTTCCCACATGATAGATAGGTGACAAAAGCCTGATCAGATGACAGGCACAGAGAGGGTTAATCAGATTAAAGCAGCCCCTAAAAACCCCTAGACTTAGACACTCTGGTGACAACCCTCTTGGGTCCCCTCCCTCCTCAACAGCTTCATACTATCACGTTGCTATTGCTCAATTAACCTTGCTCGGCTGCCCACCCCTCTGTCTGGTCTACCTCCTCATTCTTCCAAGCGGCGGGATGAGAACGGCGGGCACCGACGTAGAAAAAAAATCCTGTAACACAGGCACTGGTCTTTCACCAACGTAAGACGTACACAAACAACTCATTTTGTTTTCCCAAATCACAATAAATCAGGAACGGGCCTCCACTCACCTGGCTAACATGAAATTCAATTTCACATTTTTTTTTAAAATCTTTTTTTTTTTATAAAGATTTTATTTACTTATTTGACAGAGAGAGACAGCAAGAGAGGGAACACAAGCAGGGGGAGTGGGAGAGGGAGA